TTCAGGTTGGAAAAACCCCTCGGGATCATTGAGTCCAACCCTCAGCCCGACTCTACACAGTTCTCCCCTACCCCACATCCCCCACAGCTCATCCCAACGGCCCTGAAACCCCCCCAGGGATGGGGACTCCCCCCTCCCTGGGCAGCCTGTTCCACTCTCGCACCACTCTTGCTGGGAAACATTTTCTCCTCCTGCCCAGCCTGACCCTCCCCTGGGGCAGTTTCCAGCCGTTCCCTCTTGTTCAGTCACTAATTCCCTGTGAGAAGAATGATATATTGATGCACTGAGCAAACCTCAGGTGTATTTTCTATCACTTAGAGCTCATACATGATATTCTAGACAATAAATGTAAAGGCTATGGTGTTGCGGGAGAGAGACATTAAATGGCTGTTTGAGGATTTTTGTTTATTGCACTATTTGGTTGCAGCATCTCCCTTCTGTAGAGTTCACGCACCTTCTTACAAAGGCTCAGAGGTTTGTGGCTTAGCTCTGCTATTAAATTGCAGTAGACGTTTTGATAGCACTTGCAGCTTCATATTCCTACCAAATTCTTCTGTAATCATGTGAAATATTTCCTCTTTTTGGCTGAGTCATTTGAGTCAGAGCCCTGCAGCCCTCACTGCTGTTCTCAGGCTGGTCTCAGAGCCAGACCTCACCCCAGAAGTGAATGTGGGGTGAAGCTGGTTGTCCTTGAGTCCCCATGACAGAGCCATGTGTAGCAGGGTGGGCTTGGACACCTCTTCTTGAAGGAACTGCTCCCCAGATGAACGAGCACACACGTGGCTTTGCTTCATCTTGTTTTCAGAACGAAAAATCTCTTGCGGTTAGTGTCCTAACCCCTAAGCACCCCAAAAAAGCCTTCTGCTGCCAACACCAGGGGTCTTAATATACAGGATGAGGAACAGACTGATCACAGAGAAGCAGAAACTTCTGGATGAAGTTTCCTTCCTTGTCCAGACACAATGAGGTTTTACATCCACGGAGCACCTACAAGCATTTTTAGAAGGATTGACCCAAACGCTCGTCGTTGGGTTGACCATCCAACCCCTAACGCTGGAGCTGAAGCATGTTAACCAAAATCCAGAAGAAAAGTCCTCACCAGTTCTGCATAGTCCTTCTTTCAGCTCATCTCCCAACTCACAGCGTGGCGGGGAGGGACCTCATCCTCCTCCCCAGGTTGACCAGAGTCCTCTGGAACATACTCCGGAGTGAAGTGAACTTCAAAACTCCTTTGTTGAAACCTGGGAGGTTTAACTATTGCTTTTGATGATACTTGGGAGTCATAAAGAACAGCCCACTGCTGTAATATTCTCATGATGCTTTTATGTAAGGAAAATTGGCCAATTCTCCCTCCTACAATTTGAAAGTTGCCACAGCAACAGTGACATTAAGGGTTTTCATGAAATGAGCTCACCCACAACAGAGGGATTTTTTATTTTTTTTTTTTTCCTCTCCCCTCTGCTATTGCTTTTTGGTTTGCAGGAAGAGCTAGTTAATTTGACCTTAACTAAAATACTCGCTCAGCTCCTTCGAGAAGCATTTGCCTGCCCATTGCTGGAGAATGCGCCAGCACCGTGTCACCGATACCTGTGCAGAAAGAGGCCGAGGTCCGTGGGTGGAGCCAGCACTTCTGCAGCAGATGAACATCCAACCTGCCTGTCACGCTGGTTTTGCTGCCTGAGACCCCTCAGTACCTGTTGGCAGCTGCCTGCCAGGGAAGTGAGGGCTCTTGCGCCCATCTGAACCCGTTGCAGAGGCATTTCCAGGTCACACCATGTGTGTCCCACGGAAGGTCTCACTCATGGACTTCACGGGACCGGCGACCCAGGCAGAAACACAGTTGGTGTTCTCCACACCCGCAGCTGGCTTTGCTTTTATTTTTTTTTCCTTTTTATTTTGATTTTGCTGCTCTGCTGAGTTAAAAAGAAGGCGAGTCATTCTGTCGCTCCTCTGGGCAGTCGTGACACCTGGAGAGAAACAGGCAGGAGGAGGAACGAGGTGATGGAAACTTGGGAGGTACGGGGAGGTTCATCACGAAGTCTCATCCCTATAGTTGTCAGATTGTTATGTGAGAACAAGTTTACGAGGCAGAAGAATGCCCAAGAGACAAGGCCTACCTGTTAGACCAGGATATTGAGCTAATAAAGTGGAATTAGGAAAGAATAAAATCTGTGCAGCCTACCTGATTTGCTCCTTAGAGGTGGTGCCTCATCCCCTTTTGGACACATACGGTTTCTAAAGGGTCTCTGCAGATTTATCAAGGTATGTTCATCCTCTGGTTGGCTTGTACTTTCCACAGATAAAATAAACCAAACCTCTTCTTGAAGCCTTCAGCTGTTAGCAGAGCTTCTTTCACCACGTAGCACAATGCAACGGCGTCTGTGGTGGGACACAAATGTCCTGCTGAGATGGACTTTTGGGTTCAGGTTTTGTAACCAGTGTTTTCTCAGCCCCTCCCTGAGCAGCGGGGCCTCTCTGAGGCCAGAAACATCTCACCGTGCCCACAGGCATCTCAGCAGCTCCTTGGTGTCTAGGAAATGTTAGGAAATGTTAGGCCTTTTCAGGCAGGACATCTTAAATAGGGTGCTGGGTGTCCTGTGACGGCGCAACAAAAAATAAGGTGGCTTATTGAAAACCAACCTGATAAAAGGCATCACAGGTGGTGTAGAGCTGTGTTGGGCATTTTGAGGTGTCCTCATTTCATCCCGTGGCTGGTGTAGAGGAAGGTATTTAGGGAAAGTGTGTCTCTGTGTGTCTCTCCCATATGCACAGTTTGTTTTGATGGTTTTGATGCTTGTAACATCTTTGGTAGAGGAATACGTTACAGTGTCCAGGGTGGCTTCAATAATGGCCATGTCATAGCACATAAATAATATATTTTCAATTCCCAGAATTTACAAATAGTTGATGGGAGAGCATTGAGCTTCTGGCTTGGCTGCAAGCTAAAAGAAAAGCTGCTTTTGCTGGTACAAAAAGGTTGATCTCATGAATATTTTTCATCTTCCTCATGTCACCGTTGATTCAGTTTCACTTTGGTGAACTCTGGTGGATGTTGTTAACCTTTATGTGTGAATTTAGGATTAAACTTGGCAACAGCTGTAATAGTGGCTGTGGAAAAATAAGAGGCTGTATATAACTATTTTTGTTAGAATTCATTTATAACTATTTTTGAGAGGAAGGCAGAGTCCTGAATGTTAGGGGTCTGGCTTTGTTGGGGGTGTCTGGCTAGCCCTTTGTGTCTCCCTTGGCGTTAATTTTGATTATATGCATAAAAACATACAAAAGCCTGAACGAACTCCCCAGTATTTTGGAGATACTCAGATTATAGCACGGTCATCACTCCACCCAGTACTTTTATTTTTGGGTTCTTGTCCAGTGCCCAGTTGTGACTAGACTGAGCAGCAGGAAAAAATCATTAACATGACTTTTAATTATTATTTTTTTCTTTCTCTACCAGCAATGAAAAGCGGCGACGGGAACAGGAGAACAAATATTTAGAGGAGCTGGCGGAGCTGCTGTCTGCAAACATCGGGGACATCGACACTCTGAGTGTCAAACCTGACAAATGCAAGATCCTAAAAAAGACAGTTGATCAGATCCAGCAGATGAAGAGGTTGGAGCAAGGTAAGGTGGCAGCATCCTGCCTTGGCTTGTCGGAAAGCTTCAGAGTAAGAGCGTTCTGCTACCCTTCAGGTGCTAAATTGCAGCAAATAATCACGCCTGAAGTAATGAAAAATCACGACATCATCATTCCATTTGCAGTAGTTTCCCTTCTCCCACTTTTCTGGAAGCAGTAATACGGAAGGGTGTGCTTTGCCTTCGTTGCTTGGTTCATTTGAGATGCCACCTTTGTTTCTGGTGCAAGGTGGTACTTTGCGTTTATGATTCATCCTGAAATTATTCCTTCGATTAAAATACTCAGAAGTGCTTGTTAAGCTTTCAGGATCAGGCCCATTAAGGGCTTATCAGCAATACTGCTATTAACTGTATGCAGAAACCCCTTTTTATGGCTGGGTAAGGTGAAGGACAGCTAGCTCTGCCACATGCTGTGAGAGACTTGGTAAAGAACCATGTCACCTTGTCAGATCTGTTCTCCTGCCAACCAGACAGATTAGTGGGGACATTAATCCACCTCCCGTTGGTGAATACGCCTCTGTAACCAGTGAACAGAGAAGAGATGCTTGAGAAGCCATATAAAGGTTAAAATTCACCCCAGGTGTCAACTCACAGACTGAAATGTGGAAGTCCAAAGGGCTCAAGTGATGCCCAGGAGAAGGGGTGAGGTGTATTAAGGAAGGAGTGGGACTTGTTCAGGTCCTTGCAACCTCAGCATCCCTCCTGGAGCTGCTGTGGGTGGGCTCCAGCCTGCTCTGCACTATACCTGCCAAGGGCTGCCCCTCTCGTGCGCTCAAATACTTTGTCCTTCGTG